CCCTAGGAACGCATGTTCGGCGCAGAGAACGGAAAGTAGCCCGGTGCCTGAGGCTGGAGGTGCCTGAGGCCGGAGCACGGATCTGCACCACCTGAGGGGGCGAGGGATAGGCCTGGCGATGAATTGTGCATTTTTTACCGGTCGGAGCCCGGATGGATCCTAGATTCTGTGTAAAATTTTGCCTAACTCATTAAAGCAATCACTTTTCTTGTGCTCCGTTCCTGACTCACCACAGCTCCTCCCCCCAGCACCGCTGCCCCCGCCTTTGGCTACAACCAAGGCTACAACCGGAGTCCAGCTGGGGTGATGCAGTTACAGGCCCTCACCTGGGCCTGGAGCCTGTGCTGAGTGCGGCTGGAGCCAGGGGGCGGGAGCACCCACGGGCATCCCTGCTGCTTTGGTTCCCATGTGGGTGCCACCCGGGGGGACGGTTGGGTATGTGCTGGCTGTTACCTCCGATCCCTGAGTGCCCAGTGTGGCGTGGCCTCGAATGGACACGTCCACTGGCGCACCACCTACTACACCGGGAAGGGCTTGTTGGGGGCAGTGACGGGGGCCCCCGGGGTAGCCCCTCTGTCCCACCAGAAGAGGCACAGGAGGCTGGGCGAGGCTGCCCAGAAGAGGTCACGTTAGGGTCACAGGCTACCCATCTGCCCTCCAGGTAGGGAGGGTTCCGGCTGACCATTCTGGGTCTATGCAGGTGAAGACAGGGGTCAGGGACAGCCCTGAGACACAGCCCTGGGTCCCACTAAGGGCCAGCAGGGAGGCCAGTGCCCCCTTCTCCCTGGGAGTGCCAAGTGCACAAAGCTGTTCCCCACAGCTTTCTAGAGATGCCCAGGCCCCCCCAACTTTCTGCTGGGGCCACAGCATCAGGGCGTGGTGTTGGTTCCAGAATGGCCACCTTGCCAAGGGTGGGGTTCTGGGCACAGGGCCCCCGGTGGGCTGCATCACCTCAGGTGCACAAGCCTGGCCCCAGCTGGCCCACCCTCTGCTGAGAACCACCTTAGGGTGTGCAGGGAGCAGGCAGGTCACAGCAGGGGGGCTGCTGGGTGTGTGACTGGCGGCTTTGTACCTGAGGCTCATCGAGGCCTCGGCTGACAGGCAGGCTGGGGCCAGGCCTTCCCCTCCAAGCTGGTCAAGAGGCTGCACCCTAGGACTTGGAATCTGCCCCCAATCCCGACCCCGGGCCTCGGGTCTGTGACTGGGTACGATCGACATGCATCGAGCGCACCCACTCACCCACATGTACGGGCTGGTGACATTAGTACTTAGACCCTGCAGACCACGGAGCTCCGAAACGCTGCCCCCCACCCTGAAAGGTTTCCTGTTCCTTCGCCCCAGCCTCCCACCCACAAACGGTACTTTGGGTTTTCTAGGTAGTTTGGGTAATAGGCTCGCACACATGGCCCTTGACATCTGGCTCCTTTGCATGATGTTCTCAGGGTCCAGTCTGGAGGATGTTCTCAGAGCTTCGTTGCTCTACCACCTGGACGTTAGTATCGCCGGGTAGTGAGAATGCTCGGGTTGGGGCGCCTGGGGAGCTCTGCTGGTTAAGCATCCAACTCTTGGTTTCCGCCCAGATCATGATCCCACGGTCCATGGGTTCAAGCCCCATGCCAGGCGCTGTGCTGATGGCATGGAACCTGCTTAGAGTCTGTCTCCCTCTTTCTCTGCACCTTCCCCATTTGCACTCACTCTCAAAATAAACAAACAAAAAAAATACACGGGTCATGGAAACTACAATTTGTTTTACGTTTGTTATTGTGACTAATGCTGCTACAGACGCTTACACGTTGTTCCCGTAGGTCGTTTCCTGCAGGCGGACGTCAGGGTCTGTTTTAAAGCCCTAGGCATGTGGGGGCATCCCAGAGCAGCAGACCGCCCACACCCACACCCTGCCCCTTCCGGGGGGGGCCCGCGTTTCTCGAAGCCTGGAGGCACCCCCAGCCCCACACCCTGACCTGGCAAAGCCAGGGCCGAGCCACAGCGGCTGCCCAGGAAGCGGCTGTGTGGGGCGCTCGGCAGGGCCCGCCGGCACCTTGATCTGACACTCAGAAGCAAAACCATCACCAGCTCTCTGTAGATGGTACAGATGACACCCACGAGGCGTGATCTTTAAGAAACCCGCGGTGATCCGTGCAGGCAGAGTAGGACCAAGGCCCCTGGGTGCGAGTGGGCAGCCCGCAGTGGGCACAGAGCAGGGCAACAGCGGTGTCAGGAGCTCCTGGTACAGTGCTCCCAGCAAACACCCGAAGCGGAGGGGACGTGGGAGCATCTCAGAGTGGTCTGCGGCACTAGAAGGAGCGGCCTGAGACCCAGGGATGCCTTGCTTCCTTGCTCCTCCTTTGTTCCGAGGGGCTGGGTGCAGAGCTGGGCCCAGACGGGGAGGGGCTGGCGGACGGTGGGACCCACAAGAAGGCCCGGGCGGCTCCTGGAGGTCCCACTGTGGGCCGCAGCCTGGGTCAGGCACCCCGAGGAGACCACAGGGTGATCCGGACGCACCGGGAAGGGGCCTCCCCAGCAAAGGCCTGCGGGGTCCTGGATGGTGCGGACCGACCGCCACCCCAGACCCAGGCCGGCCACACGCAAGGCTTCCCGCCCGGTAGGGCCTGTGCCGCTGTCACTTCTACTTCACAAGCAGAGGTGCGGCTGCAAGCCTGGAGGCCGCCCGGCAGCAGCGCTGTGGGCCAGCAGCACCGCTCTGAAGACGCACGAGCACGTTTCCCTCAGGAGCGTGGTGACACCTGCCCCTGGGTGCACCCTGGCCTGGTGCAGTGCCACCATCACAATGCGAAACCACACACCAGGCAAGGACTACAATTAGGGCGGCTCCTTCAGCACCCGGTCCGGGGGCGTTCTGGGGGCCGGGAGCTTGCACAGCCCCCCAACACCCACAGCGGTGGGGGCAGCAGCCCAGGCACCGTCACCACACAAAATGGGATCCCGGTGCCCTGGCGAGGCTCAGCCTGGGCGGACGGGGACAGGCAAGGGCGAGAGACCCAGCGCCCAGGAAGACCAGGGGGCGCCGAGACCCCACACCAGGACCCCCGCGGCTGACTCAGACCCGCTCTGCACGTTACGCTCACTTGGAATTCTCAGAGACCACCTATCGGCCCTCAGCTCTCCCTCTGCTCCAAAGAAAACGCCCCTCAGGGCTCAGTCCCGGAGGCCCCCAACAATCCCACAGGGTCAGGCAGGGGCCGGGAAAGTCGCTCTCAGGGGCGGTCGCGGAGGCAGGGTCCCCGGAGGCCTGAGGTGGCAGCGTCCACTGGCAGGCCGGCTGGCTCCGCGGGAAGCCATGTCACTTCCTGCAGGACGGGTCAGGTCAGGGGTCAGGCTCCGGCAAAGGGCCTGCCAGGAGCCAGGAGCCAGGAGCCCACACCCCCCCCCGCCCCCGCCCCACGGCCCCTCACCGGCTGCCGCACAGGAAGAGCAGATTCTGCACAGCCGGGACGGTGGAGGTGGCGTTCTGGCCCGTGACGAGGTGGCGGTCCAGCACCACGTGCACAGCGTCAGGCTCGCTGGCTGCAGGGGCCCCAAGAGCGTGGGCCTCAGGCAGTGCCTGCGCCAGGCTCGCCCCCCTCTCCCCTCGCAGGGGCCTGGGGAGGACTTGGCCTGGGCCTCCCCCAGGGCTCAGCCGCAGTTGCGGCCCCCACCCAGCTCACCACTGAAGTTGGCGCCTGCGTCCTTCACGAAGTCCTCCACGATGAGGGGCAGGCGGGCAAAGCCAGGCGCCCTGACGAGCTCGTACACAGAGGGCTGCGGGGGGGAGGGGGGAGGGGGGAGGGGGTTCCCACCCCGGGGTCAGGAAGGTCCAAATCAAGCAGGGACACCGGGGCTGGGGCTGTGCGCCGCTGCTCCAGGGGGTCCGCCCTCCCGCCGCAGGTGCTCAGACAACAAAACCATCGGGCGCCCCTCCACGGCCCCAGGGCGCATGAGCCAGTGAAGGAGCTGGGCTGGGCGAGCAGCCTCAGGGCTGAGCCCCTCGGTAGCAACGGGCAAAGTCCAGGGACAGGGTGGTGGGTACAGCGGCCCCAGGGCCGCAGGGACACACAGTGAGATGCCCCTGCGGCTCTCCCCCCTCCCAACCTCGGCCGCACCACTGGCCAGGCCGGTCCCATGCAGACCCAAGTGGTCAGGCCGCAGTCCTCAAGGTCTGGACCCTCCCTCCAGCCTCCTGTCTGACCAGGTCCTGGACACGAAAGGTGCCGTGCACTTGACAAGGACAAAAGCAAGGTCTTGACCTGACCCCTGCTCCTTCCCCGGCATCCCAAAGTCACCCCCCCACCACACACATACACACACACACACTCTAGAAGCCCCACCCTGTGCTCCCCTCCCCTGTCCAGAGCCTGTGCCTATGCCCTGGGGCCATCCCGGAGGGGCAGCAGGGGAGGGGTGAGGAGGGGCAAGCAAGCAGCACCACTGCCTGGGGCTGGAAACCCATGATCCTGGGCTGGGCACATGACTGTCATCCTTGCCAGAGGACAGTCCCCGTGCCTCCAAGCACGTATGCGGGCCTCTGAAGCCTTCTACGGCTTGGGACCTGGGACCCTCCCTTGCACCGCACTCACCCCCGTGACGCTGTAGCCCTGGAACACCCACGACCGGTCCTCGTTGGTGGCGCAGCAGAGGGCGGCGACGCCGTGACCAACAGCACAGATGGGCTCTGGAAGCAGGGGCGGGGCCTGAGGCCGACACCCGCCGGGGCCCCTGCCCCTCTCCCCACACCTCCCAGCTCAGAGCTCCCTCCACCGACGGGGCGCAACGGGCCCAGTGACCAAACTGCAGAGGGGGGAGCCGGAGCGCATTCCCACGGTGGCAGCGGCGGCCGGGAATGACCACTCTCTGTCCAGACCACACTGCACACAGGCGGCCCTGTTCCCACTGACAAAGGTCGCTGTGTGGAGCCCTGGGTTTCTGTCTGTTGGTCCCTAATGAGCATCCTGTCCCCATCCCTGTCAGGTCTGGGCAGCGTGCCACATCTCCACAGAACAGCCTTTCTCCTGGCCCTGCTGGCCTCCAGCCCTGAACCCCGTGACGAACAAAGCCGGCAGGTCGCCCACCCGCCTCAGAGCGAGTTGGGGGAAACAGCCACCAGCCCCCACGGAGGCCAGGAAGAGGTCACACACAGGGGGAGCGACCGAGGGGCACATGGTGGGGGGCACAGAGAGGGGCGCCCCACCGCGTGTGTGTGCACCTGTGCGTGCAAGCACATGCGCCCTCGATGGTCAGTCAGAGGCTCTCTGCGTCTGCCCTGTCTGCCGCCCCAAACCATCCCCACTGGCCTCTCCCGGCCGTTGGTGCCGCCCCACGCACATCCCCAGTCCCAGGGGTCACCTACTGCTCTCTGAGCGGAAGTGCTGGAGGATGCGGGCCAGGGACCCACTGCTGGCCAGGTCGGCCAGGGCCCCGGGACAGCTGGGTATCAGGAGGGCGTGGTACCGGGCACCTGGGGGGAGACCACGGCAGTTCGGTCACAGACAGCGAGGACGCGGGCGGCTCGGTCATGGCGCTCCGCGGCAAGTGTATCAGAAACAGAAGCAAGGGAGCGCTCTGGAGGCCACGAACCCCCCCCCGGGATCCCACACCTCGAGCCCCCAAGGTTCTGGCCCCCGGGGCCCCTCACCATCAATGGACTCCAGCTTGGCAGGGCTCGCGTAGGCCTTGAGGCGGAAATCCTGCACCCAGCGGGCATTGCTCTCGTTAACGTCCACGAAGTCTATGGTCCTCCCCTGCAGGAGCACCGAGAGGCAGACACCCCACTGTCGGTTCACAGGGACTTCAGAGGCTGACGAGAGCTCGGGGACAAAGGCACCGACAGCCCAGCCCCTCACCCCTCCT